ATTAATATAAAGTTGGATATTAGACCATTAGTTTAGGTTAATTGGTAGCTAACTTAGTGAACCTTTGGCCCAATTGGAGTGACATAAACTAACCCTATATATGCCATCTTCTTACGGCTATTTTCGTGATGGTTGGCATGTGTGTGCTGAGAGAGGGAAGAGCAAAGAGGGGGAACCGGCTTGATGGTTGTTGGGGTAAGTCCATCACTGTTGCTTCTTCTTCTTCTTCCCATTACCAACACCATCCCTTCTCCTTTGTGGGGGGTTTGAGAGCTTGGGGTAGCCCAAAGTGAAGGTGAAGTTTTGGGTCAAGTTAAGGGAAATCGATTTTCGTTTGATTGTTTTCTGAGCCCAAAATCAAGATTTATCGAGGGATTTTCGCCACATCATGGAAATCTCGCATATAGTTTGAAAAGTCCAGTGCAGCCTCACTCGGTTTGTGTGGCAATGGTAATGAGTTAATATAAAGTGGGGTGCTAGGTCGGAACCCATAAACCACTTTGAATGGAGTGCAACCTGTTGATCTATTAACGGTGTTATTGAAGGCAAATTTGGACGCAGAAGTATCATATCCCATCTGGTCACATGATTCGCAATGTGGCAGCGTAATAAATTTCCCAAACTCCTGTTGGTTAACTTAGTTTGGTCATCAGTTTGGGGAGTGGAATGCACTAGAGAAAATAAGCTTCATTCCCATTTTTGCGTACAATGTGTTCTAGAAATATCTTACAAACTTGACGTCCCTATCAGACACTATCGAAACTGGAGTACCATACAAGCAGACGACTTCTTGCAGAAATATCACAACAACTTTTGATACATCATAAGTTCAATGACATGGAATAAAATGGGACATTTTGGAAAAACGATCAACCACCACCATAATTGAATCATGTAAAAATGATCAACCGCCCCAATAATTGAATCATGTTGTCGAAGAGTTCTTGCCTTCTTGGCAACCCAAGAACAAAGTCCATACTAATATGCTGCCATGGTTTGTCTGGAATGGGAAGTGGTGTATAGAGCCTCGCTTGTTGCTTGGTCCCTTTATTTAATTGGCAAATCCGACACCGATCAACCACTGTATGCACATCTCTCTACATCCGAGGCTAATAGAACCGATCAGCAACAATAGCATAACTTTTATCGTGATCGGAACACCCAGCTAAACCCTAGCTGTAGCGTTACATAATTAGGAACTCCCAAAAAAGCCACGCGGAATGCATAACCATGACTTGTAAAATAAGAAACCGTCGCACAATATATAATCATTGTTCGAGGCACTGATAAGTGGAGAAATCACTCCATAGATTATCAAATCCTGTAACACTATCTCAAAATATATGTATTAAGTGTGGCTTCCGGCTTAAGGCGTCAGCATTATGAGATAGTAAAGGAGGTTTGGGATCATCGGCAAAGATTATTCACTCATTAGCATCATCTACCATGTTAAACAATCCAAAGAAATATAAAGAAGAAAAAGGAGGAGGCTAGGGTTTCATTGATACTACATTAATTAATTGAATGCTAAAAGATAGTTTAACCTAAATACAAAGAGAATATATATAGGCTAAACAAAAGAAACTAAAAAGGACTATTCTACCCTTAATAAATAATAAATAATTCTATATTTCTTAACATCTCCCCTCAAACTCACGATGCAGCAGCTACAAGCATCGAGAGTTTACCAACTAGAAAACGAAAACGAGAAATAGAATGCGACTTGGTAAAAAAATCTGCAAGCTGCAAAGAAGAAGAAACAAAGGGTAAAGTAATTGTGCCATGCTTGAGATGATGACGAGTAAGATGACAATCGATCTCAATGTGCTTAGTTCGTTCATGAAAAACCGAGTTGTGAGCAATCTGAATAGAACTTTGGTTGTCGCAATACATAGGAGTGGGATGAGAAAGAAAAAACTTTCGTTGTCGCAATACATAGGAGTGGGATGAGAAAGAAAAACTCCCATATCTGCAAGTAACCAACATAACCAAACAATCTCTTTAGTAGTAGATGCCATAGCACGATATTCTGCTTCGATAGAAGATTGAGAAACAATAGATTGTTTCTTGCTTTTCCAAAATATAAGAGAATCACCCAAAAAGATACAGAAACCAGTAACAGACTTGCGATTTGTGGGATCACTGCCATGATCAGCATCAGAGTATGCACGCAGCTCCAAGGAAGAGGTGGATGGAAGTAACAGACTCTGAAAGACTGTACCCCGAAGATATCGCAAAATGCGAAGAACAGCTGCCCAATGAACTATAGTGGGAGAAGCAACAAACTGACTAACAATATGAACAGCATATGCAATATCTGGATGAGTAATAGTGAGATATACCAAGCTCCCAATAATAGTATGGTATAAATTAGGATTTGACAAAGGTAAACCGTCAGAAGAAGAATACTTCGCGTTAACCTCAATTGGAGTATCAACAATCTTATTATCAGTAAGTCTTGCCCGCTCAAGAATATCTGCAACATATTTCGACTGAGAAAGAAGATAACCTCTGGGTGAGAAGGCTACATCAATACCCAAGAAATATCGTAGAGAACCCAAATCTTTCATTTCAAACTGTCTAGCTAACTCTATCTTCAAAACTGAAATACCATCAATATCATCACAAGTAATAATCATGTCATCAACATATAAAGATAGAATGATACGACCTGCATCAGTGCTCTTAACAAAAAGAGCAGAATCATGACTATTAGAAGCAAATCCAAGGAAAGAGATCACAACAGAAAATTTCTCAAACCAAGCATGAGGTGCTTGTTTGAGACCATACAACGCTTTCTTGAGCTTGCAAACATACCCAGAATCATGTGAAACACCAGGAGGGGGTGCCATATAAACCTCTTCTTGAAGATCTCCATTCAGGAAGGCATTTTTAACATCAAGTTGAGAGATACGCCACTGACGAACCGAAGCTACTGCAATAAGAGTACGAATAGTAGTCATTTTTGTAACAGGAGCAAATGTCTCCTCATAATCCATACCATACTGTTGAGAGTATCCCTTTGCAACCAACCTAGCTTTGTATCGCTCAATTGACCCATCAGAATTAGTCTTGATCTTATACACCCAACTGCAACCAACAACACTCTTACTAGAAGGTAAAGGAACCAAATCCCAAGTACTAGTCTTATGCAAAGCAGAAAGTTCCTCATCCATAGCTTGCTGCCAAAGAGGATCAAGAATTGCCTCTTTATAGGAAGAGGGCTCAGAGAGACAATGAGTAGAAGCTAAAAAGGTAGAAAAGGATGAAGAATAACAAGAATAAGTAAAATCTGGTAACTTTGTAGACTTACGAATGCATATGGATTGACGTAGAGGCGGATCCACAATCTTAGACGGAGCTTGAGGGACCGTAGGAGAAGAGGACGCTTCAGGCATGCCGGAGAGTAAAGTGTCAGTACCTGCGGAATGATTAGTACGAGTTGGTTGTAAAGACAACGGGGTAGGAACATGAGAATGGACATTTGAAGTAGTAGGCTCCTGAGAAGACAAACTATCAGGATTGTCAGAAAAAGGATCTATACGAATAAGATCAGATCTAGTCAGACTATGAGTAGTGGATAGAATAGAAAAGAAAGGTATATGCTCGAGAAAAACAACATGACGAGACACATAAAGTTTCTGAGTCATTGGATCAAAACAACGATACCCCTTTTTACCTTCACCATAACCAAGAAAGATACAAATTGTAGATCGAGATGACAACTTGTTGTGTTCTACATGAGGACGAAGAACGAAACAAGTACAACCAAAAACTCTAAAGAGAGAATAATCAGGGGTATACCCATACAATTTTTCAAAAGGAGAAAACCCTGAAATATGAGAAGATGGAATTGTATTAATCAAATCTACAGCAGTAAGAACAGCTTCACCCCAAAACACACTAGGGACAGATGCAGACAACAAGATAGAACGAGCAGTTTCAACAATGTGCCTATGTTTTCTTTCAACAACACCATTTTGTTCAGGAGTATCTGTACACGAAGTTTGGTGAATAGTTCCATCTAAAGCAAACAGCTCACAAAATTTATTAGAAGTGTATTCCCCACCCAAATCACACCTAAAACATTTGATAACAGCAGAATGTTGAGCTTTAACAAGAGCACGAAAGGCTAAGTATATCTCAAAAAATTCAGAACAATGTTTCATTAAATAAACCCAACGATAACGAGTGTGATCATCAATAAAAGAAACATAATATCGAGACCCTCCTTTTGTGGCAACAAGAGAAGGCCCCCATATATCAGAATGAATCAAATCAAATGGAGAAGAAGAAACAGAAATACTTCGATTAAAAGGTAAAGCTGAAAATTTTGCCAGTTTGCATCCACTACAATCAGAAATATCACAAGGGTGTAAATTTCCTAAAGCCCTTGTAGAAGCTAAAAATCTCAAACGAGATGACGAAACATGACCTAGACGAGAATGCCATAAATAAAAACTAGAAGAAGAAGGACTTAAACGAAGACAAATCAACATTAGTAGCGGAAGCAGCAACTGGCACTTTTAGCTCATCCAAAATATATAGTCCACCCTTCCTACGGCCTGTCCCAATCAGCTTTTGAGACTGCAGATCCTGCACATAACAAGAAGAAGAGAAAAATGTGACTAAATTACCAGAATCACATAACTGACCAACAGAAGCAAGATTTAATGTGAGTTTTGGAATATGATAAACATTATTAGGGAGGGACAAGTAAGGTGTGACAACAGAACCAACACCTGCTAATGGCATAGGAGTGCCATCAGCAGTCATGACAGTAATAGAGGACGAAGGGGACACAGAAGCAAAAGACGAAGAATCTGGAGACATATGATGTGAAGCACCAGAATCCAAGACCTATACAGAATGTGACATACCTGAAGAACTATGAGGCAACTGACCTATGGAAGAAGCAGACATAGCTTGAGGCTGTAAGGAGATAAACTTCTGAAATTGCTCAGCCAAAGTACTAGGATCAGTGATAGGACCTGATGAAGCTACTGTGCAGTATTAGATTGTGGTGGTCTATGAGCATTAGATCGTGATTGGTTTCCAGGCTTCCAAGCTTGAGATTGCTGCTGTAATTGATTTGACTGTCTCAACTTAGGACACTGAGCCTTCCAATGACCTTTATGCTTACAGAAACTGCACTTGTCAAAGGCAACCCTTGTGTAAGGCTTATTTTGATTATTAGAGGATGGCTTAGAAGACACTGCTAATACAGAAAGCTTAGAAGCAGAAATAATTCCATTTTCAGCATAAGACTTAAGACGTATTTCTTCAGCCAATAACTCGCTGACAACTGAGTCAACAGATAGAAGTAGAGAACGATGCAAAATTGAACCTCTGAGTCCTTCAAAATCACTGCGAAGTGCCGTTAAAAATTGTACCAACCGTTGCTGCTCTCTATGAGTAATATAGGCAGCACATGCCTTTAATTCTGTCGATTCTGTAAGGGCCAATTGATCCCAAAGATCTGTCATAGCAGAATAAAACTCCTGAATATTCATATTATTCTGATGAAGAGCTCGTATATCATTCTCCAATTGATACTGCTTTGCAAAATTTGACTGAGTGAATAATCTTTGCAGATGATCCCAAACCTCCTTTGCTGTCTCATACTTCGCCAACTCTCTACCTATGGAATGCTCCACAGAGTTATTAATCCAAGTAATAATTTTTGAATTATTTGATTCCCAAGCATCTATCAAAGCAGTATAACCCTCATTGGTATTCTCAGGTTTCACAGAAATTCCACTAATGAATCCCCACATCTTTTTACCCTTAAGAAAATTTCTCATCACGTAACTCCAATACGAATAATTCTTTCCATCCAACCTCACACTCATAGACTGAAGGGAATCGTCTCTTTCAGTAGCCATAATAAAAAAAAATAACAGATTGCAGAAGTACCAGATTTAACAGATTGCAGAAATATCAGATTAACAGTTGGATCCGCGAAAACTGTGTTTGAGATTAAGTTTTGTCTCATGAAACCTGGCTCTAATACCATGTTAAACAATCCAAAAAAATATAAAGAAGAAAAAGGAGGAGGCTAGGGTTTCATTGATACTACATTAATTAATTGAATGCTAAAAGATAGTTTAACCTAAATACAAAGAGAATATATATAGGCTAAATAAAGGAAACTAAAAAGGACTATTCTACCCTTAATAAATAATAAATAATTCTATATTTCTTAACAAGCATGAATTCGAATTGTTGCAGATAATCCATCCAACAAGTATGTCGTGAATTCAGCTTACTTTGAGAATTTAAATGCTTTAAAGAATCATGGTCTATATAAAGAATAAACTCCCCGTGGATCAAATATGGTCACCAATGCTTGAGAGTTTGAATTAAAGCATAGAATTCCATACAATATATCCTCGGCGAGTGTCATTAAGTTTCTCATTGTAAAAAGCAATGGGGGTGCCCTTCCTGACTCAACACGCCCCCGATTCCAACATGTGAAGCATCACAAGCTACTTCAAAAATTTTAGAGAAGTTTGGCAACCTAAGTACTGGTGCTTGCCCCATCCGTTCTTTAATTTCTGATAATGCCCTTGCAGCTGTGGTACTCCATGAAAATTTTGATCCTTTCAAGCATTCGGTGATTGGGCCATTATAGTGCTGAAATTGTGAATGAATTGTCAATAAAACATCGCCAAACCATGGAAGCTTCTGACTTTTGACAAATTCTAGGGAGTTGGCCAATTATGGACAGCTTGCACTTTTTCGGGATCATCCTCGACATCTTGTTTAGATATTATAAAATCAAGAAACTTGGCTCTTGTTTTCATAAATGAGCACGTGTCCCGATTAATATAGAGTCATTCAATTCTCAAGACCCTCAATACTTGCTCGACATGGCTCAAATGATCCTGCATGCTTTGGCTAAAAATCAAGATGTCATCAAAATAAACAACAACAAATTCTCCCAAGAATGGTATGAGAACTTGCGTCATGATGTGAATAAACGTGCTTGGCGTGTTGGTTAATCCGAAGGGTATAACCAACCATTCGAAGTTTTGAACAACCCATCTTTTGTTGTGAAGGCCATCTGCCATTCTTCACCCAATCGGATACGAATTTAGTGGTAACCACTTCGAAGGTCGAGCTTAGTGAAAAGGGAGGAGCCACATAGTAAGTCCAACATGTCGTTAAGATGGGGTATGGGAAATCAGTACTTCATGGTTGTCTTGTTAGTTGCTCGGCTATCTATGCACATCCTCTAACTGCCATCCTTCTTTAGCATAAGTAAAATCGGGACAGTACAGAGGCTAAGGCTCTCTCGAATAAAGCCCTTATCTAATAGTTGCTGAATTTGCCGGCTAAGCTCTTCATTCTCTGTTGGACTCATGTGGTAGTGGGGAAAATTTGCCAGGGTTGAGCTTGGGGTCAAATTGATAGCATGATGTACCTCTCTTTTAGGAAGTAGTTGATTCGAAATTTCATCCAGCATGATATCCTGAAATTTCTCCAGCATTGCCAAGAACTCTACTGGAACCTTGTCATCCTTCTGCTTCACCTCACGTCTTACTACCACTAGCACCATATCATCCTCATGCATAACTCGCGAGAATTGTCGAATCGTCAAAATTGGGATAACCTCCTTTTTTTCTCAAACTCTTAAATCTATAAATGGGTCCAAAACAAATCTCTTACCTTTGAAATTAAAAGAGTAAATATTAGCAAGCCCATCATAGAGAACCCTCCGATCATAGAGCCGCACCAGGCTTCGTCCACATAATTTTTTCCCCAATGAGAATTTAACCAAGCAACACTGCTTTACTAAGGTTGAGTTGGCTTCGTTAACCCAGCTAATCCGATAAACAGTGGGATGTTTATCAGTTTTCAGCACCAAACGTTCAATAGCAGCTTCGGAGATCACATTCATGCCTCTGCCATTATCAATAATGACATTCAATGCCCAACCACTATGCTTCATGCGTGTATGAAAAATATTAGTGCGCAACCACTCAAAACTAGCCTGGAGTTCTTGTTTAGTCCCAGTCAACACTCAATGGATCACGCAGCTGGATAAATCTGACGCACTCAGGTGCTCTTCTTCACCATGGCTGCTACCATTACTCTCCTCCTAACCCATGTCTTCAGCCGTGTCCACTACTAATAATTCCTTTTCACATATAAAGGCTAGTTTCTTATCTCTTGTAGGAGATACAACATCATAATGCCCAAAGTCCTTATATCTATAACATTGTGGTCCTTCATTGGTTACCTTTGCCCTTTATTTTTGGTCCCCGCTCACCGCACCTCTAGATTGATCTTTCAACAAGAGAGGCCTTTGTGTTGGGATCCTTGGAGTTCAATCAAACAATAATCATCAAATAATAAAGGGTTTCAAGGCAAAATCAAAGAAAATAAGATGGAAAGATACAATCCGATCTCGGCCGAACTGTCCAGCAGTTTTCTCCTTTCTCTTATGGCTGATTTAGGCTCAGGAACAGCTCCATGTAATGCAAATCACCTTCCAAAAGAGAGAGAGAGAAACCGGAAAAGAACCCACCAATCGGACCTTTTCAACCTTCAACCAAGATCGAGAGGAAAAAAGGGAAGAGAGAGTCGACCTAGGAAGGGAAGAAAACCATCTCTCTGCCAAAAAACGTGGGGGAACCTTATTGTATCAACCATCAAGTCAAAACATCTCCCCCAAGACAAGGTAACACAAATATCTCAAATAGATTAAATCCCGACCCTCGATCCCATCCAATGGTCCAGAATAAAATTGAACAAAATGGAGTTAAGAGAACCATATTCTCAAATTCTTCACCTTGGTTCTCATAACACTCTCTCCTGGTTGCGAATTTGCACATGGAAGAACTGTTCATCATTATCGCCCACTACCTGCAAGAAAAATTAACCAGTGTCAATATGTAATAAAGATAAGCACAATTTAGATTTAACTGTAGGTAGAATTTTTGTTCCCACATCAAAGGAATTCCTTTCAGTGTGAATTTTAACAAGATTAACTTCACCTTGAGACAGTTTCTCACGAATAAAATGATACTTCACCTCAATATGTTTAGTTCTTTCATGATTAACAGGATTCCTGCAAAGCGACAAAGTACTTTGACTATCAGTAAACATAACAGGTGTATCATGCATAAAGTTCAATTCCTTTAAAATTCCTTTTAACCAGGTACATTCCTTAACCGCCTCGGTTATGGCAACATACTCTGCCTCAGTACTTGACAAAGTAACTAAAGGCTGTAGCTGAGACTTCCATGTTATACAATTTTTACAGTTATATAATTGTCACCTAGTGTAAAAAAGTAAGGTGTGGTAGACTTTCTACTATCCTTGTCACCAGCAAAATCAGAATCTACATACCCCTTTAGAGTAAGTTTTTCAGATCTTTTTTCATACACTAGACCCAGATTTAATGTACCAACAATGTACCTTAATAACCATTTCAAGCCTGCCCAATGGGGCTTTCCAGGGTTGGACATAAATCTGCTCAAAAAACTTATAGTATAGGCTAAGTCAGGCCTGGTTGTTATCATAGAGAACATAACGGAACCTATAGCATTAGAGTAGGGTATGTTCCTCATTTCTCTAAATTCCTCCTCAGTTTTAGGAGAATGTGCACTAGAAAGATTCATGTGAGTTGCTAAGGGAACGTTCATAGATTTTGATCCATTCATACCAAATTTAGTTATGACTTTGTTTAGATAGGCTTCTTGGGAAATGATTAGTCTATTTTCAGCCCTATCTCTCTTTATAATCATCCCCAAAATCTTCTTAGCACTCGCCAAATCTTTCATATCGAATTCTAATTTTAAAAGGTTCTTCATCTTAGTGATTTCAGTCTTACTTGAACTTGCTAGAAGCATGTCATCTACATACAGCAACAAGTAGACCTCACATCCCTCTTTACTATCATTATAGTACAGGCATGCATCATATTCACTCCTTTTAAAACCTATCTTCAGTACATAGGTATCGAACCTTATGTACCACTGTCTAGGGCTTTGTTTAAGCCCATACAGAGATCTTTCTAATTTGCACACACACTCTATTTTACCCTTCACCTCAAAAACTTGAGGCTGACTCATATAAATATCCTCTTCCAATTCCCCATGTAGGAAGCAATCTTGACATCTAGTTGTTCCAGTTCCCAGTTGAACTGAACAACCAATGCCAAAAACAGTTTGATTGTTTTGTACTTTATCACAGGAGAGAATATCTCATTGTAATCAACCCCCCCTTTTGAGTGAACCCTTTCGCCACTAATCTGGCCTTATACCTACGGGGATCACTAGGATTATTTCCTTCTTTCAATTTGTAAATCCACTTACATTGAACTATCCTATGATCCTTAGGTTTGTTAACTAACTTCCAAGTTTTATTCTCCATTAAAGATTCCATTTCTTCCTGCGTAGCTTTTAACCAATTTTTAGAACATTTTCGATTAACAGCTTCTTCATAACTAGGAGGTTCTATCTATTCAAGGGCTTCACCTAAAACCAAGGCAAAATCAGTCAAGTTTAGGGATTCATATCTAGGATTTGGCCTGATCTGCCTCCTCCCCCGATCCCTAGTAAGCTGATAATCTTGATTAGGTTGCTGATCATTAAAATGTTCAACTTCACCTGGTTCAATGTTATCTTGAAGTTCAGTAACCTCTTCAGGTTCAGGTTCAATTTCAATTTCATTTTCATTTTCATGATGTAAAGGGTCATTTTCATCATTCCCAGGTGTAGGTGAATTTAGCCTAGTCAGCTTCACCTCAGTCTGAATACTCTTCTCAGTTTCAGATTTGTTAGTTTCTTCGGTTTTCTGTTTTAGACATGGCATCTCAGATTCATTTAAAGACTACATTCCTGCTGTTAATAATCTTAATGCCTTGGACCCCTAAAACCCATAGCCTATAGCCCTTCACACCCTCAGGATACCCTAACATCACACACTTGATAGCCCTCGGCTCAAGTTTCCCTTCAAATTGGTGTGCATATGCAGCACATCCAAACACCCTCAAGTGTTCTAGAT